CAGGCGAGTCCGTGTGGGTTAAGCAGCCCCTGGACGAGGCGCCGATAAATCTACCGGTGGCCAGAGTTAAAATGTTAGGTCCGTTCGGTAAGCTTGTTACCGAGGCCGCAATCGCGAAAAATTGCGATTTAGAATACTACATTTTAAGCAATCTGTCTGCCACGATGTTGCCGGAAATGAATCTAGGGTTCTTAGAACCGCAGTTTCTTTGTACAGCGGAACAGCCCGACGGGGCAGGACAGGTGGCGGCTGCGCCAAGTGACGCACCCTTTGTGGTCAGGTACGAGGCAGAAGGGGTGGGGGCGGTTAAGCTAGGCGAGCTTGCAGGCACCGGCAGAGAGCGGGACGCAGCACCTGAGCCGGACGAGAACAAGGAAAACGGTGTATTTCAAGGCGGGATTGACGAACCAGGCAACAAAGCAATTGTAAACGACGCGGAAGTTGAAGTAGATTCTGTGTGTGTTGCTTTGGCCCGTTTAGACCCGGCCGAATTTGTAAAAGCTCAGAGGCAGGATGAAGAGCTCACACCGTTAATAGAGCTAGCGGAAGGCACGGAGGCGGAACGGCGCGATTATTTGATAGAACGCGGCCTATTGTTGCGGAAAAGGTTGCCGGAGTGTTTTAATATTAGCAATTCATTGTAACTTGTACATAATCTTTAATATAATATTTTTCTTTTGTTGTTGAAATTTATTTCTTATTTCACTACGTCACACTTGGCTACTGAAATGTGTTACACTTCACACGCTACTGGTCACATGATTGTTAATCACGTTTGTTGTTACGCGTTGTTTTCGCTACACTCTGCAAACATTTTAATATATCGATGACTTTCTCGCGAGACTAAGATAGTTCTACGTCCTGATCTAGACATTGTAGTCAATTGTCCCATTCTTAAACGTTTTTCAAAATTGTGCATGCATCTGCTGTGACTATGTCTTGGAGAAATTTGATTAATTACTTGTCCGAGATAACATTCAAGTAATAATTCCAGGCTATATTTCACTGGGGCAGAATATGTAGCCAAAGTGGCACTTAATTCTTAAGGGTGCGTAGAGTTTCTGTCCAGCAGTGCTCGAGTCGTGTACTCATAAACCATAACCAACAACGCCCACATGTGCGACAGATAGACGCACATTCCCACTGCATTACGCCTGTAAAATTTGCGCGAGTGTAAGCAATAAGTTGACAAAGTTTTATCGCAATTGGACGCAGCGCATAAAATACAAACCAACAAACCAAAAAATATTGCCAGTCCGGAAGGCCGAGATCGTTAAGGTAGTAGTGCCCTAATGATTTTGTACCGAAGAATCGCGGGTTCGAGTCCCGCTTTGGGCATGGCTGTAGTTGTGTTCGTTCTTTCACCCCTTATCACCATATCATATGATATGTCATATCATATATATCATATCATATCATATCATATCATATCATATCATATCATATCATATCATATCATATCATATCATATATCATATCATATCATCTAATATCGTATCATATCATTCACAGTTATCATACCGTCAGATGCAATACTGATCGTTAATGACCTAGATGTTGATGCGACCTTAAATAATAATAAAACACAACGAATATTGGTTTTAATATATCAGACATATGATTAGAAATGAAGTGTACAAGACTTGCCTTCTTAATAGGACAGCGGTAGTCGCCCTCCACGCTCTCCCTAAAAGTGCGGAAGCCGTCGTTGTCATCGTTGTCGAGCTCGCCGCAGACGTTGGGCCAAGAGAAAGTGGCTACGGGGGTCCTATCGCTCTCATCTATCTTCGAGACGTTCTCGATAAAAGTCTCCACCTGCGACATTAGAGGTGTATCAGGTGACACTGTCTATCCGGCGAATGTGGAGAGCCGAGGTCGCCCAGACTTTAATGAGCAGACTCGGCGTACAGAATTCCTTGCTTGAATCCCACCTTGGGCCTGGATATTAGCGAAGGAAATCCGCACAGTGAGGTTAAAAAGATATTTTACACACACACACACACACTCCGATTCGCTGAATGTATGATGACTAGACATCAAATGTTTAGGAAAATGCCTATTTTATTCGAATGAAAATATTTAAAGGTGATTAATATATTATATAAATTAAATAATAAACACTCTGCCGATTTTTTATTTTGCATTCTTTGTGACATAAATGCCTTTTAGACATATTTTTCTTTTTAAATCATTTTTCTTCGTATATATGTATACACACACACACACACATATATATATATATATTGAAACGAAGAACGTTTCTGCATAGTAACAATCAAAATTGATTACTAATT